GGAGATATTCCAGGAATAAACAATAATAGCATTTGACATTTTACGGCCAATATTGGCACTCTCTGCTAGAAGAAAAGTAAAGAGGAGCAATACTTTGCAGCGAGACACACGACACTTAACCCAGAATCTGCAAAACGGCTTTAAAAAATTAAAATAGCGAAAAGTGGACAGACTAGAGCGCTGAACAGGTCATGAGTTAGAAAGGGTCCATATGGTCGGGATGTCTAAATGCCCCATCAGTTCCATCACCCTCATTTTTCTTTTTAGTGATATCATTACATGTATCATTAGGACTATTTCAAATTCTTACAATCGATTATTTATTTTAGAGTAATGCTATTCATTCCCATTGTGGTTCAACCCCAATTTATGTGACAATTACATGACATAGATTCATTTAAATACAAAGTCACATGACTCATTTAATTGAGTTTATCATTTAACGTAATGCAATTGCCACATAGATTGTGGCTAAACCTCAGTGGGGATGAATAACATTATTCTTTATTTTATATTTATTCGACGTAAGAATTATCTCTTAAAATATCTCGCAAAATAATAACTCATTTCATAACATAATCTTGAAATTCATGTGCTCGTGTTTAAGAAGAATAGCTCAAGTTCTTATCTGTTATCATGTTCCGTAAGACGGTGACTCGTTTGAGCTCAATTGACTCAGATATCATAGTAATCCAAACCATATACGTTGGTTATTTATTTTATGATTATTGAGAAATTTTATTTCAAGAAGATAACACGATTTCGTCGAGCTTGAATTCAAAAAGTTAGTACTAGGAGTTCTTTATTTATTCAATCTATAGTTCTAATAATCATAATTAAGAAGCACGCATAAGATCAATACTATAATTACACAGACGCTAAATTAACTCTTAAGTCTTAAAAAATGCCCACATTGACCGGTTGATAATGATGCCTTTCTTTTAATTTCAAGCTCGATAGCTAGGAAGATTAACTTTTGATTTTATCGTTTTATTATTTAAATTGATTTGAATTGAAGTTCAAGAAAATGATTCTTTTATAAAAAAAATTAATATCTGCAATCTATAGTGGTAATACTAATCATAATAAGAACCACTTAACAAATTAGTGCTATAATTGCGCAAACGCCAAAAAAAAATCTTGAGTACTCCCACTACCATGATGATAAGCACGCCTTTCTTTAAGGTGAAGCTAGTTGAGTAATACGTGTTTTGGCTTATTTCGATTCGTATAATATTGAGATTGTATCGTTGACTTTATTCCAATACTGCATATAGACGAAGTATCATAGTGGTACACAAAAACAACAAAGTGAGCACGAAGACAACAATATAGACATACGAAAACAGTAACTCGAGTACCTCAAAACACATGAAAGTAGCAAAAATGAGCACACAAAAATAGCAATAGAGGCCTATCGCGTCATACAAAGACAACAACACAACACATTAGTTCACGAAAAGATGATTAAGCATCCGTTTGTTTCTCATTTTTCATCCATAAAAATGAAAAATATGACCGTTATCCATCACATCAAGCTATCAATTTTGAATTTCTATCTCTTGTGCGGGGCTCTATAACGACTATATTTTTCATTTTTATTCTATTANTAGTGAAAGGATTCGAACTCCATTCATCTTGCGTGGAAAGTTAGCATTCAATCACTTGAGCTACAATGCTTATTCAATAACTTTTATGTACTAACATTTATATATATTTAGTGCTTGTGTGGGAAGGATTAAAATCAGATTAAAATTGAAAATAGAGCCGTTATTGTTGACTTTTATTAGACGAGTGGGACCCAATAACGGCCATATTTTCAATTTTAATTGACTTTTAATCCCTCCCGAATGGGGCCATAATTAACACATATTTGTTAATTAACACTAAGAACATACAATTTTTATTAATTATCAATGCTACATTTACATTTGAGGTTGCGTATTTATTTTTAGAGTCATCTATTGCTTGTGTGATCTATTAAGCCCTTGTTTGATGGTCATTATGGAGAAAAAAATGATGTTTTGAATATTGATTTTTTGCTGAATGTATTATTAAAAAGTAAAAAAAATTAAGTTCACGTGTAGAATATATGATTGCGTGAATATTCTTTTATTTTTTTTTGAAAGGGAGAGAAAATATTTCCTCTAAAGCTCCTAACCTTTAATTCCTTTTCTTACTTAAAAGGGAAAACCGATTAAATTAGTATAATTAATCTCCACGAATCTATAATATCTCTGCGTGACACATATTCATAAATCATAAATAGAAAAAGCAGAAAAGAGGGGCCCAACAAGTGGCGGGGTTTCACATAAAGCCAAACGCCCCCTCCGCCACCTTCGGCCATGTTGGCGGCGAACCGCTAGCGCTACGCCATCTCTTTCTCTCGCTATCACGAGAAAGCCGAGTAAGCAAACCCTTCGTCATCATCAATGCCTTCTTTCTCACTCAAAATCTCACACGCATTTACTTATTGTATGTATATCTGTATCTATACATTTTTTTTTCAGGTTGCTTCATTGCTGAATTTTGATCTTTCACCTTTTTATTTTCTGTTTTTCTATTTTGATGCACACTCAGTGAACGCAAGCTCAATACTTTGTTCTAAGTTTGAAATCGCTGCACGCAAACAGAAAAAGAAAAATTGAATCATAAGTTGAATTCTGCATTGTTTCGTTTGTGAACAGGGGATTTGAAATTTTGAATAAAATTGAGATTTGTGAAATTTATATTCTGTAAGGGAGTTTTGAGGATTGAGTATAATGGAAAAGGAGAAGAAGAAGTATCCTATAGGAGCAGAGCATTATACTCTGTATGAGGAGATCGGGACAGGTGCCAGCGCCTTGGTTCATCGAGCTCTCTGTAATCCTCTCAATGAGATTGTTGCAATCAAAATTCTGGATTTTGAACGGGCCAACTGTGATCTGGTAATTCTCTTGTTCTCAAAATTTCAGCCAGGAGGTTAGAATGTTGCCCACTAAAATAATTTTTCACGTATACTCAAAAATTTTCCGTACTTTTTAACAACGCTTTCTCCAAAAATATCACTTTTCAGAGTATCTATTCTCAAAAATTCTACATTAAACATGTCAGTTAGATGAAATTTTCATTGTTTTGCTTGTTCAATATTTGATGTATTTGAACAATTTGGGAATTTTGTTTCTTAGAATTTTTCAGAGTAAGATCCGAGTCTAGAATATGAATATAGTATGTATGAAGAAAGATTAAATTTTGCAATTTCGTTAGCTGAAACATGTAGTATTGCTTGTTAGTTATTATGCATAATCACTCGCATACACAGATTCTTTCACGATTAAGAGCTTGGAAATACATGCAAATTTAAATTGGTTTTTATGAACTTGTAATCGTGATAATATTTTGATTATATGTAAGATCTCAAAACCATTTATTGTCTCAACCATTGATGGCCCAAAACATTAAGGTGGTATGTACCAGAGTTTAAGAACTCTAAATGAAGTGGCCACCTAGTGCGTGGCCATGAGATCGTAAAAAAGAAATCTTGAAGAAAATTTTCTACTCAATTATTTTTGGAATCAATTATCTTATCTCCGTTTGGATGAAGGTCATGTTGGCCCAAGTTGATAGTAGCTCGACTATGTTAACTTTCGAGAAAGTGAAGAAGTGGTGAAGATACCTTATTTGACAATATCTTATCAGCAATTGCATCTTTAGAGCATCTCCAAGAGACTCGTGAGATTTTTTCAAACTTTGAAATTAGGTTTCAAGAGGCTCTTTATTTTAACTTTTTAAATTATATTTGGACAGCAAAACTCACTCTCTATTTGTATTTTATCTAGATTGCCTTTAATAAAATTGCAAGTATCAATGCTCTACTACTTAAATTATTAATATAATATATTGAATATTGTAGCTATTGACATCTAAAATATATACATATAATTGAATAATGAGGGAAAAAGGATAAATGAATGTTGGGAAAATAAAATAAAGAGCAAAAAATAAAGAGTTTATTGGAGTGTATTATACTCTTTAAATTTAAAGATTCTCTCTATTAAGACCATGCTAGTTAAAAATAAAGAATCTTTTGAAGATGCTCTTACGTTGTAATTAAGTACAAGTTTTTACCATGTTGCTCAAGTAGGTTCCTTTCTTACCATGCCTAGAGTCATCTGTTTATAATTTATGTTCCTAGCTTTCATCTGGAATCTTGTTTCTTATTTAATTGTGATTGAATATCAAATAATCCTAGATAGAAGTCATTCTGTAGGAAACCATTGTCGTATGATTACTTTCTTTGCCCTTGAAATATCATTGTTTTGGTTTATTCTGTGGTTTTTCTTATCCTGGACAACACAATGAACTACTTCTTCTGACTGGTTCTTGCATTTTACCCCTAGAATAACATTTCACGGGAAGCACAAACGATGGTTCTAGTTGACCACCCCAATGTTCTTAAATCACACTGCTCCTTCGTTATAGATCATAATTTATGGGTTGTAATGCCTTACATGGCTGGAGGTTCTTGTCTGCACATATTGAAGGCATCACATCCAGATGGTTTTGAGGAGGTCGTCATTGCTACAGTTTTGCGTGAGGTGTTGAAGGGCTTGGAATATCTTCATCAACATGGTCACATTCATCGGGATGTTAAAGTGAGTGGTTACCTTTTATATAGTGCCTACAGCATGCTTTGCAGTTTTACGTTAACAAATCCTTTCCTCAGTTGTCTTGCAACACTTCATTTATTGAGCAGCTAAATTACAAATCATTGTTACGGACTTGCAGTGTATACTTGCTAACATCATGGTGATCTTTATTGGGAAAATTAACTAATCCCTTAACAAACTTCATAATAGTTCTGAAGCCTTCAAAAGAAATATGGTTGGTTCAAAGTAATCCCTAAAGTTATGGATAGCGTTCCACCTAGATAATACAATTATACTTTGTAGTAACTGTTCATAAACATATATTTAGATCATAGCATAGGAATAATCTCAATGTTTTGATCATGGGCATGGCTTTTGAACTCCTTTATTGTTTCCCATTTTGAACACCAAAGCTTCGACATGACTTCCTTCTCATTCATCAAACAAACAGAGCTTTTGGTTTGCATTAAGAAGCATCTTCTTTCCATTTCGTTGGAGTTTTCATTTTGTAGATTTCAACACTTTGGCCTTTTTACATAAGATATTTGCTCATAAATTGTGATTACCGATTGATTGCCTGAAATACTCATGTCCATCAGATCTTAGAATACTCATTTCCATCAGATCTTACTAGAGTGGCCATCTATTCCAAATTTATTGAAGTTGAACTTTGAAAACCGATAATCCTTTTAATTATTTTAAAATTTCAATTCACTCATAGCAATATCAAAATAGCGTCCCTGCTAGTTGACTAGCCGGCCTCCTAACGAAGTTTTAATTATTCCAGGAGTTGTTCTCTCGAGTCCACTTATTAAAGCATTATGCAACTGAGTAACTTTAACCTTTCAGGCAGTTGTAATTTCCCCTTCCCATTGCTTTACATTTTGATATGTATACGACAAGGTAAGTTGCCATTGAACTCATTGAGGTTATATGTAGAAGAGAAGTGACTATAGTTCACCTGAAAGTTTTAAATTTTCTACTAGAAGTATAAAGAAAAAACTTTATCTGCACTGATATCATGTAAGGTTCAGTTTTTGATTTTCTTATAGTAATAGCTGTTGATATAAATCCTGAGAATAAACAGTAGCATCAATTAGCACTCAACCATCACCGAAGGGAAACCTTTTCCAATACTCTAATAGTAAAATAACACCAGGTTACTGGCACATGTTTTAGGATAGAGCATAAAGTTTTATTTCACACTTATCATCTTAACTTTGGACAACATTTCTTTCAGGCTGGCAATATTCTCATTGATACTCATGGTGGAATCAAACTTGGTGATTTTGGTGTTTCTGCATACTTGTTTGATTCAGGTGACAGACATCGCATGAGGAATACATTCGTGGGGACTCCTTGCTGGTATACAGATTTAACTGTTACTTGAGCACTCGTTTCTCCTTGTGTGGTTGATCGTCTATCAGAATTCACTTCTTTTTGTCTGTCCTTCATGACTAGAAACACAGCAAACCACAAATATGTCCGTTATACTTATTCCATAAAGATTATGGAAAAACGTAAACGTTAATAACACATTGATCTTGCTTCTAGTGTTGGCTTCATCCATCACTTGTCAATCTGTTCCTTGTAATAGGAGCATATTTGTGGTTTTGCAGGATGGCACCAGAGGTTATGGAGCAATTGCATGGTTATGATTTCAAGTTTGTCTACACGCTGCTTTCATTTGTCTACTCTTGTTATCCTAATTGAATGTTTCAACATGTAGGTGAGTTAGTTGTTTTGCTATTTTACAGAGCAGATATTTGGTCTTTTGGTATAACTGCTTTGGAGCTTGCACATGGCCATGCACCTTTTTCAAAGTATCCTCCAATGAAGGTGCTTGTTGATATAATGACACCTTTTCTGGTTTTATGGAAGTCTATTATATTTCCAGGATCCACATTGTATGTTGCATATTTTACTTTTGCAGGTATTGCTTATGACCTTGCAAAATGCACCACCTGCTCTTGATTATGAGAGAGACAAAAAGTTTTCTAAGGTATGTATGTAACAATCATTAATTGATTAATGATTGTAAGTCATACTTTTGACATGCGTTCTCTCTGACTCTATGTTTGCTTTCTGTAGTCTTTTAAGGAGATGATTGCTAGTTGTTTGGTGAAAGATCCGTCAAAAAGGCCGTCAGTGAAAAAGCTATTAAGGCATTCATTTTTCAAGCAAGCTAGATCAAGTGATTATATTGCAAGAACTCTTCTGGAGGGGCTCCCAGATCTTGGTGATCGTCTTCAGGCAATAAAGGTGCGCAAAAGATATGATACTGCTATAAGTTGTCAATATTACCTCTACGGTATGTTCCATTAATGGATGCATGTTTGAAAATTAACCTAGAGAAAGGAGGAAGATATGCTTGCACAAAAGAAAATACCAGATGGGCAGAAAGAGGAAATGTCGCAGGTTTGGTTTCGGCTTCATAAGTAACACATAGATATCTTTTGTATATTGATACACTGGAGATATACAATTAATAATCTATCCGATTTACCATTTACTGAAAGTAGGACATTGCAATAAAAAATTAACAATAGCCTAATATCTAGTAATTTTTTTTGTCAATTAATATCTATTTTAATGATGGCAGAGTTCCTTCATCTGTTCTACATGCACAAGGCTATTATACGCTGGTTTTTTATCAGCTAAGTTATATTTGGTGTTCTAGATTTTTAACACCCTTCAGAATCTTTGCAGAATGAATATAAACGTGGGATTAGTAGTTGGAACTTCAACCTTGATGATATGAAGGCTCAGGCTTCCTTGGTATTCAATTCTGTTTAGCCTTCTGCGTTTTCGAGTTGTGTGACTGGTGCAAATATTTGGTTGACAGTGAATATATGCGATCTTTTCTCGTGTTCAGATCCAGGATGAAGATATTATAGTCGAAAAGGATGACGATATGCACGCTAAACAATTTCAGCATCCGTTATCTTCATCCAAAAGTCAGTTGTCTTTTACAAGTCAATATTCAGAAGTTGCAGATTCTGTACGTTTTTACCATTTTTGTGGTTCTATATAAAGGCAGATAGCTGTTGGATCTTCTCTGGCGCCTAACAATATAATTGTTCACAGGATGATAATAGTCAGCCTGCTTCTCTCTCATCAGTAGACTCCACTAGTAACATGTATGCACAACATAATTATATGTTTCCCATATACTTTACATCATGTTTATATCACCTATAATTCTGATAACTATATTTTACTGTTTTCATTAAATATTCAGCAGTATGCAATTGTGGCCTAGTATTTATATTTGGGAACTTTTCATAAGATCTTTTCAAAAACCAGTTCCCTTGGGGGTATGCTAATCAAACTTATTATAATGTTTTAAGGAATAATCAAGAAAAATCTGCTGATCATGCAAGCTTTGCTAGTTCGACCATTGAGCAGAAAATATCCCATAATTTCTCTCCTGGCAGCAGGAATCACATGGAGAGTAATTTGTCAGGAAAATCAGAATCAGATGTTACTGGAAAATTATTGGAGGAAACTTCATATTCTCCCCAGAGGTATGATGTTGGATTTACACGATCACTTGAATCCTTACGTGAGCTGTTCTTTATAAAATTACAGGATTCCTTCTCTTTTATTTGTTTTTAAGTCTGTTAATGTCCATTTGTTCACGACGTGTCCATTCCTTCTTATTTTTCTGAAAAATCAAGTGTCGGCTTGTCGTGACAATGTTGCATGCATCTTATGTTTTGATAGATACCTATGCTAGCATTCATAGTATATATTAAATGACCTCTTTATCAACAAGACAAACACTCAACATTTACCAAGTCAAGAAAACTAACACAACAACTTCATGAATTAAGAAAAGGAAATCCGCTTCAAAATTTTCAAATCAACGTTTAGTACTGTAAGATTGAGAATGTTGCTGTATTATGCATATGTTATAATTCTACAAGAAAACTCACGGTAGAAAGTAGAAACACAGGTTGAAATTCTGATTATATAAAAAATGGTAGGACGGATAGTATTTTTATGAAAAAGAATTTATTGATCATAGATATTTTAGGTATTTGGCTATATAGAAAATGCATTTATAATTATCTTGTAAAAAAATGCTTTTATCATTCTCTTTCCATTTTTCCTTTCGTTTTCTTTCGTTTGGAGTGACAAAATAATAATGGCTTTATTTGAAATGTAATGGTCCATAATGTTCCTCTTCCTTGCATCTGATCACATGTCTTTTAATTCTTAAACATGAACACATACGACTATTTATAGAGATGGAAAATGAAAATTGTACCACGCGACTGATTCACTATTCTGTTGATTTTCTTATATGTACCTTAATGTTATATACGTTGATTTGATGGTCTCATATGTTTATTTCATGCCTTGTTTAAATCATTGGTTATCCTAGCTGAAGTTTGGTGACTTCACTTAGACATTTTCCAGCAATTTCTCATCTAAAAAAGAGAGTTGACGCTTTATAGATGTTTAGAGGGCTATAACTCTTCTCCATCTCTCTTCTTTATCCAAGCATATCTTTTGCATTTAAACAAGTCAGAATAAAGCATACCATTATTTGTAGTTATTTTTGGCATCATTTGGTCCTTCCTACTACACACATCATAATTTTTCTGTAGTGTACAAAATAGTATCTGATCAAAAAAGTTAATATACAGCTAAAATTACTAATGCATGCACTTAATGGATTTAAGGTTCTGTTTGGGTTTGTTCATTTACAAAGGCTATAAACTTACATGTTATATTTTCCTTGACAAGTTTCTATTATTTTCTTTTATTCGTTAGTGATAAACTCCAAAATCAGCCCCAAATTTTTTCAAGTGTCAATGGATCTTCCATTCCTCAAACAGTAGATGATGCGCAAGAGGATATGAATTCAAAAGGTTCAAGAGCATCAGACAAGTCAACTTTATCATTTTGAACTCTGGGATTCAATGAACAATAATATTGGTGTCATATGCTTCTAATACACATCTACACATTCATGATGCAGCAAACAGTGAAGAACTTGACGAGAAGGCAAAACGTCCAGTTGTTCAACAAAAAGGACGTTTTAAGGTTACATCTGAGAATGTTGATGTAGAGAAGGTTAGTATTTAGGTCTTAACGTCAGTAATTTTGTCTATAATTGCTTCAGACTGATTATTTCATTCCTGTAGGTGGTTCAAGCTCCAATGCACAAAAGCCATAGCATGCAGGTTTGATTTGAAAACATATTGGGAAAACTGATTCTATCATTCTTCCTGTACAGAATGAATGTATAGAGCAAGGGAGAATTTTATGGGAATTTTATAAAGCGACCTAACCATTGCGTAACTACAGCTTACATTTCCTTCTGCTTTGAGGATCCAGTTCAGTGGGAAATTGAATCTTCATAAATGACTGCATATATTCAATCTCGACATTGACTACCAGATGCTGATTAAGAAAAGTTACAAAATCCTCAAGAAAACAAAGAAATGATTTTATATTATGCTGGTTTACTAACAGATCGTTTTTAAGTGATATCTTGCTTCAACATAGTTGTGATTTTGAGATTCTGCCACTTTTTTATTGGGACCTCAAGATAATTAGAAACAGTGGCGCACGTACATTAAGATATCAACACATTGAGAATTTAGTACTAGTCAAGTTTGTGATTTGTTAAATCTTCTCTTAACACAATTTACACCACATTTTTTGTCTTCTATTGGAACATTAGTGAAAGCATTGTGGGTTATGTAGGTGATATCTCAGCATCCTGCTATTTCTTCACCATTGCTACTTGATGCTACACCTTCAAATCCTCTTGGTCAAGCTCTTTTTCCTGGGTTACAGTCTGTTTTGCATACGAACATTCTTCAAAGGGTATGGGCTAGTAACATAGTTGCAATCTTTTTTTTTTTTTTTACCCTTCTATTTTCTTGAAAATTCTCCTGATTTTTCTCTCAACTGCCCCCCACCACCACACACACAACAGGACTGTATTCTTAGTCTCATGAAGCAAATCTCTGGATATGACTCTACAGGTGTGAGCTATCAATATATCTTGAGATTTTGCATTTTCTTCACATATTTGTTCTCACCTGTGTTTAGCCTTTTCTGCAGATGTGGGATGTATGTCGACGAACCCTGGTGTGTCAGATAAATCGTTGGTATGTAATGTTATAAAGCTTACCATTGACCAAGTAGATGACTTTTGCTGAAACAGGTTTTATATGTAAATTTGTCCCCTCTCTAATAGTTTAAGATTTTAGACGAGATAGTTCGGTTCAACATGTTATCTTAACGGGAAAATGTTCAAGTTCAAGTCTCACCGCACCAAATTATGAACATTGTGCATGTGCAAGGCTTTGATGGAAAAAAATGAATTTAGCATGCACCTAGAAATAAAGACAAATTTTAGATGAATAACTCCAATCCCTTTTAATAACTTGAGCTTTTAGATGAGGTGGTTCAAGAAATATTTTCTCGTCTTTGTTTACTATTGTGGTGTCAATGTTTACCTTCAGATCTTTAGCTTGTGATTACACAAGTTACCCAGCTGTGTAGACTTGGCAGTGATTCCCTTCAACTTAAATGATATCCATTTCAAGTACTCTTCAATCATTTTGTGCCTTTTCTATATGTTTCTTTTTTTCTAAGGCATCTGTTTTGTTTGCTGGGTAATGCTGTCTGTTAACATTTTTTGTAGTTGGAATTAATCTTGCACGACTCACTTAAGAATAGTTCTGTCAACATTTGATGTCCAATTCTTCGCCTTCAAAAGTTAATTTTGCATTTTTGGAGTTGTTCCTTTTTCCTTAGATTTTTGTGTCGATCTTCTGAATCCTAAATATCCTTATGCTCCGTTGGAATATTACCTTTTACACGTTGATTTACCCAATTTAGTTTTCTTCTTGGTATTCTAGCTGGAGGTAGCTCATGATCGGGAAAAGGAATTGCTTCGAGAGATAACTGATTTACATTGGAGGTACTTACGACTCTAATTTGCATCCATATACAACAACCAGGCTTATTGAATTGAAATAGTTTTTAATTAGCTTTTTTCTTTGATGTAGGTTTATATGTGCCCAAGATGAGCTCCAAAAATATAAAACAGAGAACGGTCATATCAACTCTTGAGCTCGCTGGCTAGACGGTAATCTACAGAAAACGCATGTGGCACATAGCTATGGCGGGGACAAAATCCTCAAAAACTTGCAATAAATAATTTTATAGGAACAGAAGTTAACGTTTGTATGCTAAATTGAACATTAGAAGTTAACTCTCACATGTACGGTTCATTTCATTTTTCTAAGTTTCATTATATATTTTTATTGTTCCATCAACATATGCAAGGACAATGCTACATGTACTTACACTTTTTTACCTAATCTTTTACCTACACTCATGATAAGGTGTGGAGACCACACATTTGAGAATTTTTTATTTATGCGGCCCCGGCACATGTGAGAGGGTGTAATATTTTCGGTACAAATGGAATTGTCCCATATGCAAACACCAACACCTTATTACAATCTATCACTTTAATATAGTTTGTTTCTGAATTGGAGTTTTGTTGTTAGTCTAGTTTGTTGCTTTATATTGTTAATGTGGAAAATTTAGTCTTATTTTTGCAATATCTTAGTTTCCTATTTTCATTTTTACTGAAACCACTTTTTGAGCATTTCTCAAACTTCAATTTCTGTAGCATATGTTCAGCGTTCAGTTCTCGCCTCGTCCACCCTCTCTGTCTCGAAATTGAAGTTAAAAAGTTCAGATTTTTTTCTACAGAAGATCAAAGAAGAAGTACTCTTGATAAATACTGCTACATGATATAGTTTGCAAGGTCATTTCAAATACCTATATTTGATGGATATGTTTATCGACTGATTTGAGCTTTGGAGTATCTGATTATTGTACCAAATAATACAATTTCTCTATCGATTAAAGGGATCGAAGGGCAGAGCCTTCGGTGTCCCCTCTAGTCAAGAATCGGACCTTATTCGAATGGTGAAACTTTGAAATCCATATCCTCTTGATTGATACATGTTATAGATATTTAAATTGGTTCTTTTTCCTCTTTTTGAGTGGTTAAGAATTTATCAGATTCTCAATAACTTTCCAATTTTGTTTTGGCAAACCACCATTTAATTAGCTAATATGCTCATTTTTCCACCACATTTTCTTGTGTTTTAACCAGACAACCTTCTTCTAAATAGGGGGATCTAGGTTTTTTCCTAAAACCGTGAACATTCAGGTCCATTCATTTGGATATAAATTTCAGTCTTCACTTTCACTTTCAGCATCAGACATCAGAGCTACTTATAAGTGAAAACGCCCCCAGGGCACATCTCCAAGTGGTAAAAGGGGAATGTGGAAAAACTCCAACTTTACTTGAGACTGTCGCGTCAAGGGTTCGAATCCTAAAATATGGATTTGGCCCTTGGGTAAGTGCAAGTGTACAAGCAGCTTTCCACCCTGTACCCTTGGAGGCATAACCTGCAATTTACCTCTTTCACCAAGACCCAGGGCAGGGCAGGGCAGGTGGAGACCGCTAAGGATACGGTTCATCCTTTTACTTATAAGTGAAAACTTGTGAAAATGAGTGCTAAAATTACTCTTTTGTTTTCCCTTTTATTCCGCAAAGCCAATGCCATTAACATTACCAAGCTCTTGAACCAGTATCCAGACTTCAGCACTTTCAACGATTACATAACGAAAACCGGACTAGCCACTGATATCAACTCGTTCCAAACAATCACGGTCCTAGTCGTAGACAACAGCAACATTTCCCTGTTATCTGGAAAATCCAATGCTGCCATCAAGAAGATCTTGAGTGTTCATGTGATTCTTGATTATTATGACGTGAAGTAACTCGAAAACTTACCGAATAAAACCGCAATTCTTATGACACTCTACCAATCCAGTGGCCAGGCCTGGCAGGCCATTGGTCAACAAGGATTTCTCAATGTGACAGATGTGAATACTGGAAGTGTTGCCATTGATTCCGCAGAAAAAGGTGCATCTTTAGGGGCTAATTTGGTTAAGTTCATTGCTTCATAGCCATATAATGTATCGGTATTACAAATTAGTACTGTTATTATCCCACTGGGAATTGACAATACAACCTCAAAGAATTCGACTTCTCCAAGGCCTGCTTCTAGCCCGAAAAACTCCTTCAAGTCCTAAAAAATCGCCCCCAAGCGATTCTCTATCACCCTCCAAATCCCCTGGTTTGCCTCCTCAGCCTTCTGATGCACCGGTTGCAGATTCACCTGCACATGATTCCCCTAGCGAAGGCACGACTCTTCAGCCTAGGCTTTTGTCGTGTTTATAATAGTATCTTCGACTCTGTGGCTCGCATCTACTATTTGAACTAGCACTAGTGTTGAGTTATTCCAAGGTTTTGCTTTTCGTTAGTTCTTAATATTAATAAAGAGATAAGTTGCATCAGATTTTTCTCTTATTAATGAAATTTCCTACTTTAAAATTCTCTCAATTTCTTTCCATTTAATTTATTTTTCACCTTCTTGGTTAAGCGCTATAGCTTTTATATAATCTGACTCTGAAGGGCTAATCATTACTCCCCTTTTGCATTTCTATAGCTCTCAGCTAATACAGGGCATATTTAGTACATAAAACTCGACATTATATAACTTACAATAGCATTTCACGACATCGCACGGACAGAACGATAAAGAAAAAAATCAACAGTAACGAAAAACAAATATAGGATCATAAAAGGAGTTATATATATAACAATAGAAAAGAGAACTCAAGAACTGAGCTCAAGAAACCTTTGTGCTGTAGGATGAGTAGCCTCGGAAAGTTGCCCGGGCTTCAATATTTCAACAATCTCACCATCCACAAGAAGGCAAACTACATCAGCAATCCTCTGGATTTGTTTGATGCTGTGAGAGACGAACACAATAGTCATTCCTCGATCTGTCTTCAGCTTTACAAGTACATCTTCAATGTTCTGAGTCGATATTGGATCTAACGCGCTCGTGGGCTCATCAAGTAGCAAAACCTTCATAGAAAAGGGAACTTGAAATCAGATGGCTACAAAATTTTAGTAAATCGTTCCAAAATTTACTAGATAGGTTACCTCGGGCTCATTAGCTAAGGTCCTAGCAAGTGCAACTCTTTGAGCTTGACCAACAGATAACTCTCCCCCAGATTTGTCGAAGAAAGAAGAGTCAAGATCAGCAAGAGCGAGTAACTTGTAGACATCGTTGTCACTTAGTTTCTTTCCTCGCAATTGTGGTCCATATCGGATGTTATCTGCAACTGTGCCTGCATAGTTTTGTGGGAACTCCACTCAAATCAACAGCTCTCAAAAAATTAAACTGTAAATTGGAAATATTATTCATTTAAAACAAACATGTACCCTCAAAGATAGCCGGAAGCTGGAACAACATCCCGACTTTCCGGCGAACACTGAGTACATCAAGATCACATATATCTACACCATCCAAGAACACAGAAGCAGAAGGAGGCTCCCATAATCTGTTAAGTGCCCTCAAAAACGTCGACTTTCCACTTCCACTTGGTCCTATGATCCCCATAATCACACCTTTGGGGATATCCACGTTGACTTTGCTCAATATTGCAACACCCTTGTCTGCAACTTTTGTTAGATCCCTCACCTCAATTTTAGTTTCCGGCCAGGTTCCGTTCCCGGTTGTGTCTCCGGCCTCGTCCACGACTAACAGATGCACTCTTGCACCATCTACACCATCAAGATTCGAGAGTACAAATGATACATCAGAATAATTCTCAAACACAAACACACGGGGAAAAAGATAAATTCTAAGGCGAAAAAATCATATTGTAATTGTTGGGATTTATCTAACCTTGAAAATTTTCCATAGCATGAAATCAAATCCAAGCACCTCAGAGAAACTTCTCTATCTTGTGAGCGGTAGAATGAATAAATTCCTGAGTTGATGAAGAGACTAAATACTTGTACGCACACAATTTTTATAAATAGATTTGTCACCGTACAATTTTACGGGTCGAACTGGACTGGCTTTTCTGAATAGACCTACACCCAAAAAAGCCACTTAGATTCCATGATTCTCCTGTGGACAAGTTAAAAAGACAATTGTACTGAACTTGCATTACATGGACTAAAAAACTATTGTATGCATTTTGTAATTCTTAAAAAAAAAAAAAAAAAAAGGATAAAAGCTTTTGAATAAGCACCAGAATCATTTATCTTTATCTGCACCAGATTCTGTAGAGAATTTTACAAAAATAAAAACTAAAAAAATTTAAATTAAGGACGTGGTTGAAAATATTATTTTATTGAAAAATGTGTGGTTGAAAATGAGTAGAAGAATGAGAATAAAATGAGGATGTGGTTCAAACAGGGGCTAATACGCTAATCAACTTAGTATATAATAACTCAACATTGTGACGGAAGCAAAGTAATATTTATGAGACTTAGCTAATTATAAGAGAAATTAAATCTCTTATGTATCTTATTCAGCCCAGTTTGATTTAGCTAAAAATTATATTTTTTTGTAAATTTTGATAAAAATTGTAGATTCTATTAAATTTGTGATTGAAAATGAGTTTGACAGAAATAAATTTTAGAAAATGAGAATTAAACATGACCAAATATATATAATCTAAAATGATAAATTGCTTAAAGAAAAGTTCAACGTTTTATAGAATGCTGTCATTATCGTGTAAAAAAATAAAAGATACTATAGAATGCATACATATATAAGTATATTCGGATGTTTCAGAGGCCACGACTTTTCATCAAATTTGTTACTTTTGAATGAAAATGTAAGAATTGTACGATGAAAATATGGGAAAGATAAAGCAAAGCAATAAAAGAATAAGAAACTACTTTTTCATATTGATTAATAAACGAAAATGTGATTGTACAAAACATCTTTTTGCGATTTGGAAAAAATATAAAAACATTAAAATTGAACTTTGTATTCATAAAATTTGTTCTTCCCTCCTAAAATATTTGTTAGAATCTTTTTTTTTTTCGATAATCAATAGACATTTGCAAATCAAGCAAAGATGAGTTACAAAACTAAGTATTATATGTTTATTAAAGTACAATTCTATGGAATAGACCAACCAGTGGATAAAAAATAAGTCATGGTATAATTAAAAAAAAACTTGAAAACAAAATAAAAATAAAAATTTGTGGGGTCATTTGACCCCACATGACCCCATGTGGGTCCGCCCCGACGGAAGCAAAGTAATATTTATGAGACTTAGCTAATTATAAGAGAAATTAAATCTCCTATGTATCTTATTCAGCCCAGTTTGATTTAGATAAAAATTATATTTTTTTGTAAATTTTGATAGAAGTTGTAGATTCTATGAAATTTGTGATTGGAAATGAGTTTGACAGAAATAAATTTTAGAAAATGAGGATTAAACATGACCAAATATATAATCTAAAATGATAAATTGCTTAAAGAAAAGTTCAACGCTTTATAGAATGCTGTCATTATCGTGTAAAAAAATAAAAGATACTATAGAATGCATACATATATAAGTATATTCCGATGTTTCAGAAGCCACGACTTTTCATCAAATTTGTTACTTTTGAATGAAAATGTAAGAAATGTACGATGAAAATATGGGAAAGATAAAGCAACGCAATAAAAGAATAAGAAACTACTTTTTCATATTGATTAATAAGCGAAAATGTGATTGTACAAAACATCTTTTTGCGATTTGGAAAAAATATAAAAACATTAAAATTGAACTTTGTATTCATAAAATTTGTTCTTCCCTCCTAAAATATTTGTTAGAATCTTTTTTTTTTTTTTCTGGTTTCTAAACGTGAAATATGACAAAAATATGAAATAATTCCAGTAAAGAATCAATACCCAGGCGCAATTAAGTTACATAATCAGCACGCGTCAACAATATCTGATCAAGTAAATTATTATTGTCCAATGACACAGAGAGTGAGCTTCACGAATATAGAGACGCGTTAATAAATTTGACCTTCCATAAACAGAAATTGATAATGCCAAACTATTTGTTATCCTGCCAGATCAATGTACAACTTCTAAGACATACTGTACAACATTGGCTGATGTACGTTATACTATAGAAGTTGTACTTTATAATTAAAGAAAATAAACCACACAAAAACATTACTCTTTTTAATCAGACACAAAAAGGAAAGAAGTGAGCATCGAAGAGAGAGAGAGAGAGAGAGCGCGATCAGACAGAACAAAGGAAAGGGGTCTTCAATTTTGTGATTCAGAAAAAAAAAATTGAAACAAAAAAGAGAGAGAATCAAAATTCGAAGCAAATTTTGAAGAGAAGAGCAATGGAAGAAGAATAGCCACGATAAGTGAAATGAAAAACATAATTGAAAGCCCAGAATTTGCTGTGATTGTTTTTATTTGAATCTGAATCGGAGGAGCTTCAGCGAGGTCAGCCCATCAATTATTTGCTATCCGTGAAGTCATATCTATCTTGAAGTTTGAATCTTGGTGTATTTATTTTTGTTCGTTTGAATTCCGAGCCTCAAATTCTGAACTTTTAAGTTGGAAATTCAAGCTTAAATCTTTAATTGGAAGGTTGGCATTTGGTGTGTTTTGAGAATTTTAAGGAAAAATAAATAAATTTCTGAGGTTTACTTGGAGTTGCAGGGAGGTATCTTTATTGGGTTCTTGAGGTAACAATTGGATAAGTGAAATAAAGGGTTTGTTGGTGTTTTAGTTGTGATTATTTTGGTCAATTGTTTAAGAGTTTGAAAGTTTTGTCAAAAATGGATTTTTGGAGGGAGAGTTAGTTCAATGGAAAATTTGAGATCTCTGGGTGCGGACTCAAACCACCAAGAAGTATAGGGGTATAACATTGACGTTCTAGATATGGGTTTTGGTTTTGCATTTTTTGGGTTATTATTAGAGGGATTAAATGTTGTTTGGAAGATGGGTTTTTGGAGATGGAGTAGAAAAACCCTGATTTAGTTCAAAGTTCTGTATCATTGTTGTATTGGAGTGTGTCTATATATTGTATGGATTTTGTGTGTTGAAGAGAGGGTGAGAGATGCAACCACCACATCAGCATTCGCGGATCAATCTGGCCGAGTTGAAAGCTCAAATTGTGAGGAAACTCGGGCTGGAAGGGTCCAAGCAGTATTTTTATTACTTGAATAGGTTCTTGGGTTTGAAGTTGAGCAAGGTTGAATTTAATAAGATTTGTCTTAGGCTTCTTGGGCGAGAGAATATCCCTCTGCATAATCTGTTCATTCGTTCGATTCTGAAAAATGCTTGTAGTGCAAAGGTCCCACCACAGGTGAGTCATGAGGATGAAGTTCTGAAGCATTCTACACAAGTTAGTGACAAGGAAATTCCTAGCGATGGTCATCAGCTGTATGGATCCCATGCTGCTATAACTCAGGCTACGGGTTCGCCGGGTTTGTCGAATGGGGGTGACATGTTGTCAGTCTCACCTCGAAAGGCCCGGACAGTGTTTCGTGATCGGAGGACTGGTGAGCGTCGTAGTGCACTTGGACTGAATGGGAAGACCAGTATTGCTTCTCAACAATTGCCAGCCACGCAGTCTAGTGATTTCAATGTCATTTATGAGAATGGGCACTTGGATACATCCGATATTGGAAAGCTAGTGCATCATCAAGGACTCAAGCAACACGAAGAGAATGAAAGGGTGGTATCAGGTCCCCACCCTGCAAAATTGTCAGAAGTGAACAGATCATCAGATGGTCCAAGTTCTGTACATAGCATGGATCAGACCGAATTGTTAGTTAGACATAACACGAAAGAGGTTTCTGCTAGTAGTCCACTTCGAGCTCCACTTGGGATTCCATTATGCCCAGTTAGCATTGGTGGGGCACAAAGATCTCTGCTTCTCACTAATAGCAGTAGATGTACTAGCACATTTGATGATGGTGCTTTGTTGGACAGTCTAAAATTAAGAGAACACATGGAGCATGTCGCTTCAGCTCGGGGTCTTGAAGGGGTGTCAGTGGAATGTGCCAGTATATTGAACCTTGGTTTGGATTCTTACATGAAGTATCTAATAAGTTCCTGCATTGAACTTGTGGGGGTTAGGTCAGAGGACAAGCTAACAATGAACAATAGGCACAAGCATCAGGCTTATATGACGCTTGTTAATGGTGTCAGACCAGGGCATCAATATCAGATGCAAGGTAGTGGTAGGCCTTTTGAAGTGCAAGAACATAGAACATGCTGCCCAATTTCTTTGCAGGATTTTAGGATTGCCATGGAGCTGAATCCGCAGCAACTTGGTGAAAATTGGCCCTTGCTATTGGAGAAAATATGTACACATTCATTTGAAGAGTAGCATGGAGCTCGGATTTGTTAGTTTCCCAATAGTTGTAACTTGTTCCTACTGGATCATAACTCATATGGCATCTTGTACAATGCTGTTCTTCTGGGCTCTAGAGTGACCTTAAATATATTGATTTATTCAGTGCATTTTGATCCAGAGTGGTGCTCTTGAAGTGAAACTACATCTCTTGCAAGATGATGGGCCCGGGCAGATAATCTTTATATCATCCTGCTAAAGGGCCTGTCTTCATTTTGAAGTACTCCATCATCAGCAACCTGTCAGATGAGAAGAATGCCCAGATTTGGTTGCACTGTTTTACGATTAGCACCATATTTTTCTGCTTTCTCCTGTAATTACTGCCACAGAGAAAAGTTAGAACATTTTTGCACGAATAATGTGTAGTTCAGCACTTTAGCAAAAAAGTGGGATTGCATGATGCAATAGTCATGTGTATGTACCTTCAACTTTAAGATTGATTGGAATCTCAATATTAACAACACGTTTTCCTCATCTGCTTACATTGTTCTGCAAAAATATACATAAGTTAGTGTGCCTTTCGTAGTATCTATCAGAAAGATACTATTTTCATATCCCTACGACTATTTCTTTTTCCCCTAATAATAAAGGTTTAGTGGCTGAATTTTACTTTGCTGTTGAAAATTAATGAATCTCACTTCTAAGTTCCTCGGAAGAACAGTGCAGTGAAATTTGTTTTTAACTGAAGATTTGCTTCTTTATATATCATGAAGAAGTGGCAGAGAAGTTGTCACTTGGGTGTCCAACTAACTTAATTTTTTTCTGTATGACATTGATTCAAAATTATTCACTTGGCGAGAGATATACTTTTACCTCCAGTTCTTACTGAATTTTGTTGCTTCCTTTTCTGGGTTCTAAATATTTGAGTCTTGCTGTTCTTCACTTGCATTAGACAGCTTAATTTTTAGTTGAATCACTATAGCATCTTACGGGTAATCTAATTGGGTTTCATGGACTAAAGAAGCTTTTTCTTGTTACTTCTACTTATTAAGGCTGGATTTTTTTTTTATTGGAGCATAGCACTGAATACAGTGTTCTATTTGTTATGTTCTGATTATTAAGTGCTTGCGTGTTCAAAATGATGGGTAAGTTAAAATTCAAGTCAAGTGAACCGGAACCTGAGTTGAAATGCTTGGTTGGGACCCAAATCATTTACAAAATGAGAAGAATAAAACATCGTCCTTCTGTTGGTCAATGTATTTTATTAGATTAACAATTTATATTGCAGGTCAGACTGAATGACATCTTTCTTTTGGAATTTGTAAGTTTTCTAGCTTCTTTCTTGTTAATTTACTCTCATCAACAAAAGAATGTGAACATCATTAAGGAAACACTGATAATTACTTTCTCATTTCCCTATGTTTCTTCTTCAGGAAATTGCAGTGGTTATGAGGTCTTCAAGTGTACTGTTAGTAGGTATTTGTCTCACATTCCTCCTTGTGCATGCTTCGGAATTTGACTTTACACTGGACCTAATTAATATATTGAGATATAGAAGAACCTTTGAGCTGTTGTAAAATATATAAGAGCATGTTTGGCTAAGCTTAAAAGCTTACTTATAAGTAAATATGATAGTTTTTAAATAATATTTTTTTATTGTTAAAGTAGGAATTAAATAAGTTACTTATTTTGACAGTAAGTTATTTTCAAAATAAGTATACTTTTTCTTAAAAGCTAGAAAATAGTAAGTAGTAATTATGTTTGGAAATAAAAAGTTACATAAACTTTTACATTTTTTCTAAAGCTTACTCTAAATGCTCTAGCTACTTTTCTACTGTTATATCTGCTTCTGTCTAGTATGTGCTTATATATTTTTACTTCTGCTCATACTACCTTTGGTACAGTCAAAAGAATTCTTTTGTGTTGAGATGCTTGGTTTTGATCTGTTCCCGACCTAGGAATATGATGATAAAAATACAGGAAGAAACTCATTATTTGCATTTTCTATCCATCTCAAATGTGATCTTGTTTCTTTTCATTTTTCTTGCTAACAGAGAGATGCATGCCAGTTTCCCTGAAATAACAATAAGGCTGGATAAATGGAAGAGGAAAAGGTTTACAAATAAATTAATCAAGGGAACCAAAACATATTGAGAAGCCTAACTCTATGCAATGTGTAATAGACGAGCCCCAGGAGCAAAGCTCTATAGCACGGACACTTCAATTAGGGTAGCGTGTCCATGTACGACACGTGTCGAACACGAGTTGATACCGACACTTCTTGGACACTCTACTATAATCATTTTTCTTTTTATATTAGAAATATTATATATTGTTAATTCAAAATTATTAGCAAGTAACAAATAGGTACTCATGTTTAAAAGATTTCAACATGAAAANGGTACTCATGTTTAAAAGATTTCAACATGAAAAATTAATAACAAGTATAAAATTAAATTTATACTATATAAATGAAGAATTTTTAAAAAATTAATAAACGTGTCGATAACGTGTCGTGTCTGTACTTTTTTTAAAAATCGCGTGTCGGACACACGTGTCCGTGTCGGTGCATCATAGGAGCAAAGTGTTACCTTTTATTCTCTTAGTGTTGCTCTTCCCTGCTTATGGTAAATACACCTACCCATTTTATGCTTTAATTAGTTCCATTCCATGTTTCTTATGACAGCATATGACTATATGAGCAATGTATCTCTTCCCCACAACTACAGCTAGCCAGTGAAAAATTAGTTCAATTGAGACTGAGCTGGCACCCATTATTTTTTTAAACTTCTCTCTTTCTTAATTATAACCACGCATTCTCCTAATAAAATAATATTACACACAAATCTAAAAATTTTCATTACTTTTCAACCACACATTCTTCCATCAATCGCTATTCTAAAATTTATAATACACCCAAAATTGGTGCCAAACACATGCTGAAAGGGCAGATAACAGCATGTTTGACTAAGTTTTAGGGAGAGGGAGAGAGAGGGAGAGAGAGAGAAGAAAAAAAAACTCTCTTCTTTTGTTCTGACCTTGACACGTCTTTGGTTCTGAAGATGCAGTGTGTTTTTGAGATCTTATAGAATGTTCGTCTTTGAAACAAGAAATAGTTAATCCTAGGACTATCAAGCAATGATGGATCGCAAACTGAAAGGAAAGTTATGCAACTAAATCGTTATGTTAGCATTAATGCATAGGATTAGGGGAGGAGAGAAAATTACATTTGGTTAACTGGCATGCAGTTTGTTCTCCTATTGGATTCGTGGGATAGGTTGGCAGTTGTTGTGGGGAATGGTAATACAATCAGCTTTTGGGATGACTGTCGGTGTAGAGAGCAACCGCTTAAGGTGAGATTTCCTTCTTTGTATCGTATTGCATTGGAACCGTATGCCATGGTGAATGATGTCTTAGATATCCATAGTTGGAACATTGTTTTTGGCCGGGGTTTGCAGGACTGGGAATTGAATGATTATGCGCTGCTTTTGACATCTTTATACAAGGTACATATCAGGGCAGGAGAGGATGATTGTAGCAGGTGGAGGTTGACACGAAATGGTATTTTTTCAGTTCGCACTTATTTTAGATCTTGATTGGGTCTTGTAGAGAGTTCATTCCCCTAGAAGGTGGTCAGATGATAGGTGTTAACGGTGGATAACCTCCGTACAAGGGGTTTTTATGTTACAGAGTGTTGCTATATGTGTAAGAAGGATGGGGAGACGATTGATCACTTAATCCTTCATTGTGATGTTGCTGGTTTACTGTGGAACGATATTCTGGTGTCGCAACACATGGATTGGGTGTTACCGAGGCGTATGGAGGACATGTTAAAGGCATGGAGGAGAAAGTTTCGAGATTACGGGCTGTATCGTATGGTGTGTGTGGAGAGAAAGAAACAGTCGTTGTTTTGAAGACCAATCACGGACAATAGAGCAGGTTAGGGAATTGCTTTATTTGACATTGTATATTTGGTTTAATGCTGTGGCTACTAGACATATAGACGGGCTGCCTAATTTCATATTGTTACTTTCTGATTTAAATTGATAATACACTTCCTGTATATTATGCATTGATTAATAAAATACTTGATTACCTTTAAAAAAAAGTATTAATGCATAAATTGTTCTCAAAATTTACCTTATTTTTTATTATTGTCCTGTACTTTTGAACCAACTTTTCCCCATCATTTCCTAATATTGTTAAACATCTATGTTCCGTTATGCATCAAGGAACGACCAGATTTCTTTGGCAATCTGAAATTAGTAATACCAAGTTATTCCAGTGTCTTTTGCTTTTACTTACCAAGATATAGTACGGTTTCTTTTCACCCATCGTACTAATTTGTAGTATATCCAACGGCCTTGTTCTCATCTGATTATCACATTGGAGTTGCACATCGTCAAATCAAGATTTATTCGTGTGATGTAACAAAATTCGGGCACTCTGTTTTTGTGGGACCTCAAAACTTGAACTTCATTTCTTACTATTTGCTTCATATTTTGTGTTGTTTAGATTGATCTTCAAGTCTGTACATGGATAATAGAGGAGCCAATGAGATAAAAATATTTACACTTACCAAAATTTGTAAATTAACATAAATTTTGCTCCTTGAATTGTGTATCACCTTTTCAGATTTCAGCTTCCAAGATTAAACCAAAAGTACAAACGAGAATCCATAATTAAATAGTCACTGGTTTGTGTTTTCAATTACTAATTTTCTTTTTATCGTCTTCTTTGCAGGAGCTGAGTCAAGAAGAAAGGTAATGACTTGATCACTGCTATGCTTATAGAGGATCTTCCTTCTGCATGAATCATAATTTGGAAGAAGACAAATTTGTTCAAGTCAAATAACATAATGAAAGGTGCGTGAAGGGCGTGTGCTTGGAATTTGGATTAGAAACGATTTCATTCTAATTTGAATTAATTTCAAGGCTCTTGTTATATGCTTGGACCATAGCATACAATGTAATCTAACAAAATGGGACTCATCTACGAGCAATATGAGAGGAAACAATGACGAGAATTCTTTTAGGACCTATGATTTCTAAGAATGTTTTTTTCAATCCCTAGTTAAATTGCTCATCCATGATTGCTGGAGCTAGCTATTTTTATCTTGCAGTCAAAATATTCTTTTCCTTCATTATTATGTAACATTTCTCGGTAGATTTGGCATCTGACGTTTTTTATTGACCAATTTCTCCGTCTCCCATACCAGCTGTTATTCACGTATCCATTTTCCTCAACAATTCCAACCTGAATTTCCCAAATCTAGAAAAGTCTGACGTTGTTTTAGCTCGAGGGAAAACTGTTCAAGAGTTTTCGTGTTATCCTCAAATGAAGAGCTACCTGTGTTGCTTATACTTGCACTACTCCCTGGATCTGAATATCCACTTCGATACCATTGAACTAACAAATTGCCGAATATTCCATAAGATCCATTATCTCCATTTTCTTTTCCACTGAACTGTTCCTTGGTGCTATGACACCAAATACACAATTAATGCAATAGGGATGGTTTGCTCGTGGAATTTGGGTCTCTTTAATTAGGGCTGTCAAGACCCTGAGATAGGTTTCTCGATGACATCCAGTGACGCAGCAAATGCAAGACTGAGTTGTGTTAGCAATTTTCTGTGTAATATGTAAGCGTTTAGCTTACTGACTTCAATATACTCTGGTACTCCATCTTCCATGTCAATTCCTCGACGCCATTGAATTGATCTGTTGCAAGAAGCTTGGGGAAAATCTTCATCTGGGCCACATTGGCCTTTCAGCAAACAAATTTGGCGAAAAAAGAGGCTATTGGGCAGCTTCATCCATTATCATGGTAACGAGGTCCGGAGATTAAGCAATGAACCATTATGATGGTTAAAAGTTCTGGTGGTTCATATTTCTAGGAGGAGAGGTCCGGTGGATGGTCAAAAGTACCAATGTGCGCCTGGTGAGTTTTTTTCTTAACCGTTTTGTTTCTTTGTTCTGAACTAAAAATTTTTGAGAATAGAAATTGTGTTACCCATGAGGAGAAAATTAATAGTTTGGCGGGGCTAATTGATAGTCTAGCAAGCTGCTGTGATTTCAGCTGGTAGAAATTTTCGTAGATTCCTTTAGACATTTCCTTCTAATTTTCAAATTTCTTGCTTGATTACATCAAATGACTACAAGATTTTGTTCGTCAAATAGATTTTATAGTGGTTTCAAGAGTTTGTTGATTGTCATGTTTTACAAGAGAGTGCCGAATTGTCCATACAGCATGTCAATTACTATTGAGTCGAGAAATTTAATGATTTCTCATTATTTCTTGTTCCTGTTAATTATATGATCCTGTATCATTTTCCAATGTCTTCTGTTCAACCTAAGCATGTTTTTTCATATGTCTTCAACCTTCGACCATTGCAAGAGAATAGAGTACAAAAGCTATTGAGTTTATCCAACTTCTCTCTTTGGATAGGTCCTACCAGTTGTAGTTTTCAATTTTATCAGACAAGGTTGAAAGTTATAGTAAGCTTGTAGAGGGACTGAGAGTGGAAAAATAACACACACACACACAGTGACACTGCACAATTTGTGCTAACAAAAATTTCCCAGATATGTTTGTTTCGAAGTAAAACTCAACTAGGGATCATCAGGAAACTAGAAAATATTTACAAATGATTTGATCGCTGTGAAGTTGGTGTACATAATTGTTTAGCAGTAGGCCGATATGCACACAATTGTGAATATCTTTTTGTATCAGATTTTATTTGAACATCAGACCAGGCTCGTGAAAATAGAATGCCATCGGTGTAGGAGCAGTGAACCAGTTTGTCGGATCATACAGCGTGTTTCCAGAACAACCTATACTTGGGCATTTAGAATGGCGAGACATCAGTTTTGATTCTGTCGTCTCAGCATATCCCACATTATCTGCACATCCTCGTATCCACAGGTTTGGATGTCATCGTGAAGTTTCAAAAGCCCGGCACCTGAAGAAAGAAAAATGCAAGTCAGCCATACGACACCTTCCATATTCTTATGGCATGGTTGGATAGAATGAATCCGTAAAAATTGAAAAGAAAATTAAGATTTTATTATTGTATGATTGACCCAACATGTCTTCATAATTATATTTAAAACACAACTTGGATGTGTGAGTGGAATCTTTAGATATTTTGACTATTTTATGTGGGAAAAATGCTTCCAAACCTGTCATTGTAACTAAAACATCCCAAAATAATGTGATTAATTAATCAAGATGTCATTATTAAACATTAATTTCGCACTAATTTAGTGTTCTAATTATCAGAATCCGATGCCGTCGGCGTAACCTTTCCTTCCTTTCCTCTTCTTGGGTCGTGTCATTTAGCTGCTTGACAATAACTAAAGTTTGTGTATTATTTCTGAATACCATGCACCTAAACGAATAAGAAAAATCAAGAATATCTTTATTAATTTAATCAAACTATCGGCCAAGGCACCCAGGATAACGAAAGTCGTTCTTGGAAGTCTGAAGTGTGTATCCACTGCTTCTAAACCAATTTTTTTTTTTTTTTTTTTTTTTTATAGCCATGGATATTCGGGCCAACTTGCGTGCATCTCGACTAATTCCACGGAGTCCTGAAGTTTACGATTGTGTACTCACCTCGGTGACTAATTCCACGGAGTCCTGAAGTTTACGATTGTGTACTCACCTCGGTGGCCTTGAGGGAAATCGAACTGGCGATCATTGGGTAATAAACCTAATGCCTCACCTATTGAGCAACACTCCACGTTTGCTTCTATACCAACTTTTGTAATCTTATCAGGTAGAAAAGCCCTAAAATCAGTCTTTAAAGAGAGGAAACCTATCGGAAATTCACAAACTATGTTTTAACTTAGCCATATGAGATATAGTTAGGATCATTATACTAATGGACCACACACAAGTGGGAAGAGAGAGAGAGAGAGAGAGAGAGAGACTAACCATTTTTGCGAGCCTTAACTCGTGCAGAAACAGCAAACCAGACTCTTCTAACAGGGAAGACCATTTTATGCCACCACTCCATCGCCTTTATCTTCACCTTCTGCCGCCACTTCCCACCGCCGATTCAACTCAACACCACTTTTTTTCCGGCCAGGCCGATATTCTCTCTATACTAACCCCTCTTTTTACTCAATAGAAACTGCGTTTTCAACTGCATACAACAGAAAACACACACACACAGAGTAGAGTGAGAGAGAGAAAGCTCTTGAGAGTCTGGAAAGAGAGAGATAGTTATGCACTGCGTTAACGGTAGCGGAGAGCAATACTTTAACCATTTGATCACTTGGGAGTTGGGAATGGACTATTAATACAACTCTATCACCGACACGTGAAGTCATTGGTGGGTTTTTTTATAAATTTTTTAATTAGTCAGTCACACTTTGACACGTGGTCATGTGTTGAGATTTCTTGTCTTTTGACCTTTCATTTTTTTCTTAACAAATTTGACTATGATGGAGGTAAGGGAGGTAAGGGGATAATAATAAATGAACGGTTGTATTACATTTTGTAATGGTTTGAATAATCGTGGGATTCGAATCCTGGTGGTGTGCTGCCATAAAAGAAAATGAATGAATTAACAAAAGCGTGTTTTCTGTTATAACGTTTTATAACATTCAAATTGCTGAGATGGTGACACGTGGACAGATTTGGGAGGTTGGCTGAAACTTCTGGATGACTCTTAACTTACCCTCACCGTTTTCTTTGGATCATTCGAGAGACTCTTCAGTTTGTGCCTCTGTTAAAATCCTTGATTTGAACCTGTAAAGTGTGAGAGTTTTAATCTCTGATTGTGATATTCTGTGTGAATATCTGTGAGAACTAAGGTTCTGTTGTGAGTTGTATATTAGAGGAAAGTCTAAGGAGTTTCTTAGTGATTCGTCCTAGATCTGTTCATATATTTGTGAGATAAGTGTTCTTCCTCTATCTTTTGTACTATTTGAA